CCTGAATCACTGCTGCTTCTATCCACTGATGGGAAAGAAGGAAAAAGAGTCCAAACCAGCACCTTTCGGTCTCTTCCTAAAGGAAGAATTCTAGCTTCTCCCCCCTTCCCCGCCCCGGTTTTTAAAAATTTTAATTCCATTACGGTTAACACACAGTACTATGTTTGTTTCAGGTGTACAATATATGTGCTTAAGATTAATGGGATGTCATTTTTCAGGGCCTATGAATGGCCAGAACTAGAGAATATATGTATGTTAATGTATGATATATATCATAAACATGCACACATATATATTTGTGTATATATACACAGTTTTGCATCTATTTATTTTTATATAAAATGTATTTATTAAATATATATTGAAATATATATTTTTATTAATATATATATAGAAAACCATGAGTTTGTATTGATACCTACATCCATTTCCAATCCAACACTATAAGTTTCTCTATTTTTTTAAGTCACACTGGAAGTTATTTAGTTCAAATGTTAGAAATAAGAAGTAATATCACACCCCTTCCTTCCCTTGAAATACTTGACTTTGTTGCAGTCATCAGTTTTCCTCTTTTGGATAAGAAGTTCATGACTGCATTCATGCATTTATCTGATAGCCATTTCCTTTAAAGGATATTGCTTCCTCCAGAATTAGCTCCCTGTAGCTTTTCTTTCTCCATGTTTCTCATGACCTGTTTTGAAATTCTTATTGAATTCAAGTTTTGTTCCTTTCCAAATTTGTAATTCCCTTCTCTTAGAGTAAGGAACTTGGTTCTCATTATTCTTATATGTTTACCCATTTGACTGATCATCCTATATATAACTAATCTCTGATCTTCAGCCCCACCTTACCTATGCGTGGACACTCTTCTTTCTTTGCTTGGGGTCTGACTCCTTATGCTAGGCTGCCACTCCATGTGGACACCCTCTTCACTTAACTCTGGCTCTGAATTCCCACACCAACCAGCCCACGCATGCAGATGCCCTGTGACCCTTCTTGGTCTCTAAAGGAATGCACTCCTCTCCCTGCTCTGGCTTTGATTTCCCACAATTGGGCTGCCTCTTGCCTGAAGGCCTTCCTTACCCCTTGGTTGTGAGGCTGTCCCTCCCCATCACAGGAATGCCTTATTCACTCTGCTTGGAACCTGACATCTCATGCCAGGCTCTCTTGCACCCTTTGCCCTCCCCTATTGGGCTCTGACATCTGCTCTGGTCTATTGCTCATCTCTACCCCCACTATAGACACCTGCCTTGTTCTTCTTCAACTAATGACTTTAGGACTAAAATTTTCAGGAACGGAGGGCCTCCACTAGGTTGTTTAAAATATGAAAAAATGGAGTTTCAGATGCTTATGTGGCTTGTCCAGGATCACCAAGCAAACTAGAGACATTGTCAGTACAAATTCAGGTATCCCTGAGTATAAGCTGTGTGAGGGCAGGGACTTTGCCTCTCTTGTTTACTCTATCATCCTCAGCACCTAGCACAATGTTTGCTTTGGAGTAGAACAAATGAATAAATGAATTATTCCCTGTTTAGTTTTTTTCCTTTTCCTGTTCCTTTTTGTGATCTTGATATATATGTGTGTGTGTGTGTATAAAATTGATGTCTATATATTTGTCTATAACCAATAGAAAGTCATGCTCTAATATCAGTGTCAACATCTAAATATCTGTGCTTAGAAATTTCTTCTATTCCATAAATTTCTAGAGTTCCTAGCTGGATAGATGGCATATAAATGAAAATATGAAAGTACTAAGAAGCTATAGCCATTATAACATCCCAGGATTCCAGCATTTCCATCGAGTGTGGAGAAGAAAATGTCTGAGAACCACCCAAGTCAGTTTTTCAGTCACCAGACTACAGCCCCTTCAAAATGTTTGAAATACAACAAGGGAAAACGTCCATCACCCTATAGCAAACATGGGCCCCATGATCAGTTCCTTTAGTCACTCTGCTCAACCAAGTAAGACCTTTCTGCAGATGATCATGCAGGGCAATGTCTCCAAAGCACATTCTGAAAGACCACTATCTCTGAGAAATTCTTCTTGAGAAGAGGATTCTGTGGTCAACCCTGGGAACCTGACAATTCACAATGTATGTGAGCATATTAGAAGCTCTAAGAGGGGTGCCTGGGTGGCTCAGTCGGTTGGGCGTCTGCCTTCAGCTTGGGTCATGGTCCCAGGGTCCTGGGATCTAGCCCTGCGTCGGGCTTCCCGCTCAGCAGGGAGTTTGCTTCTCCCTCCCCCGCCCACTCATGATTGTGCTTTCTCTCTCTCTCTGAAATAAACCAATGAAATCTTTTTTAAAAAATAAAGGCTCTAAGAAATCCTAGAGTTGAAGAAAACTATTACCTTTGTGTAACCTAATGTCACTCAAAGTTCCTTAACCAGAGAGTTTCTGTTTAGAGTAATACCCACCCAAGTCTCATTTCCTCATTCATACAATGGGCAAAAAATACCTGTTACAGAATAAATGAGATAAAGATACATAAAGTGCATAGCACAATGCTTGGTATATTCTAGGCACTTCGTAAGCGCTACTTCCTTTTCTTAGACATTATTTATTTAAAATGATCCCTTTTATTATTGAAAGAATAATAGATATATTCATTATTGTTATAATTGAAAAAATATTAAATGAGAAAGTTAAAAACTTCAAATCACAAAGGGTGTAAAATGAAAAATGAGTTTCTTAGATCTCTCAGGTTCCCAAGAAGAATTATTTTTAATGTACCCTTCCCGACATTTTCTGTGCATGTACATGCAGACATCTGAGAAACAGATTTTTAAAAATCTATTCACAGCAAATGAAACAGTGGGTTCACATTCATTTATGTTGTGCCGCCGCAGCATTACTTCTAGGTTCTTCCATTTTGGGGTACCTCGATGTGTTTTTCTGAAATCCTTGGGTGGGGTGAAGGTTAGAGCCCTATGTTCATGTCCCCTAAAACTGTATTTTGATAAAATGAGTATTAGAGAGAATAGGGGAAACATATAGTTGTATGGGGGGTTGAAAAAGTCAGCTTCAGTGTGTCCTCTTTTGTAAAATCTTTCTTAATCCCCCAGGAACAGGACTCTGATTGAGGTGGCTATTCATTCCTCCAGTCTTTCAGTTGGTGATGGAGTGGGGATGGGGGGAAAAAGCATGAGAGCCTGGGCAGGAGAGGGTCAGAGCTGCAGTTGCAGCTGCAGAGACAAGCTTACATTGATCCAGATGGTGAATTCGTCTGCTAGGGTTGCTGCAACAAAGTACTACAACTGAGTGGCTTAAGCAAAAAAAATTTATTGTCTCACAGTTCTGGAGGCTAGAAGTCCAAACTCAAGGTGCCAGCAGTGTTGGTTCCTTCTGAGGGCTCAGAGGGAAGGCTCTGTCCCAGGTCTCTTTCCTTGGTCTGTGGACAACCACTTTCTCCCTGTGTTTCTTCCTCAATTCTTGCCTCTGCATATCTCTGTGCAAATTTCCTCTTATAAGGATACCAGTTTTACTGGTTTAGAGCCTGCTCCAATGACCTCATTTAAGCTTGCTTACCTCTGTGATGACCCTATCTCCAAATAAGGTCACATTCTGAGGTACTGGGGTTAGAATTTCAACATAGGAATTTTTAGGGAGACGCAATTCAGCACATAACAAGTGGGTTGTAGTACTGGGATTTTGTGCTTTGCAAAACTCACCCCATGCTAATAAAGCCACTCACCCACTGCAGCTTTCAATATGTGGGCTCCTTTAAAAAAGTGCAAGGACTAGAATTGTGTGTGTATGTCACTCCCCCTTGTTGACAAGAGGGAGTCTGTGTGGCCTGAAGCACCTGTTAGTCTACCTCAGCTAGATCCCCCTAAAACCAAAGTGTAAGAAGATGACTTGGTTTCTTTTTTATTTTTTGCTCCCTTCCCCACCTTCTTGCTTATCTGGACATTTATACTTTGACCCTGTTAACTATTCCCTCCCTTTCTTCTTTATGACCCTCAGTTTTCTTCTCTTCCCATAATTCCAACCTCTTTTTCATGCTCTCATTCAGTGAAGGAGGAGGAAATCGCAGTGAGAGCATGTACCTTTCATTAGATGATTCAAACTGCATCCTGCCGATTAACCTAAAAAGTCCTAAAAAATGAGGACTTCTGCCTGATAGATCACTGAAAGGGGGAATTATTTTTATTTTTTAGAATAGTTTCTGATTAAGCTTCTTGGCTCAAGAAGAAAGACACTAGTTGTTTTTCAGCCAGGAGTGGATTTGTGGCTTGGCTTCTCCATGGCTTCCTGCCGTGCATGTGACCTCAGGGTGCTGACAGCCGTTGTGTGTGGACTGCTGACGATCATCGTTTTGGGACTGGGCATCTGGACGACTGTGCTTAACAGCCAGAGAGGTAATATTGTTTATGGTTAACTATGTTATGTTTATCTTTAACTTTCTACATTTAACTCAAATCAGGAGAAGGTGTTGAGCCTCGGTCCCTGACACCTAACACACCATACTGCAAATAGCCATGTCTGGGCTGAGGTTGCCCACCAAGGTGTCATGTGTGAAATGCAACAGGCAAGGGTCAGTCAATGGCTAGCATATGGCTGCACACACATGAATATGAATGAGTGTGAGTGGGCATGGTGATGAATTACCTGGCTTGATTAGCCTCTTCTTGCTCTTTTTAACTCCTGACTGGGTAACAGCTTAATTAAAATCATTACTAACACATGTTTGGGTCTGTTTAGCTAAATCCACGAAAGATAAATACGTATGGACACACACACATACACACGCACATAATCAAACATGTGCAGAATGGAATTTCATCTCAAGAAGAAAGTCTAGGGATGTTCTCACTAGGATTGTAAATAAAATCTTATGGTTTGTGTACAAAGTTCTCACTTTCCCAGTGTTAACTACTCAAAAATGAAGATTACCTAGAAAACGATTTTTCTGGTTGTTCAGCAAACGTTTGTTAGTAAACTGTTGTGTGCTAAGGCCGACACTGGAAGGTGGGAGGGGGAGCAATGGTGTGTAAAACGATGATGTTAGAGGAAACCCCCCAAAAACTCACAACGAAGACTTTCTATAACCCCAGCGCTGGTTCCCTTGGGCTGCCAGAGGTTCTCCATAAAGGGATTCAAAGCTGGATGTACTGAGTATTCCCTTTTGTAACAAACAGAGAAAGATTCTAATAAAACTGAGTAAATAAGTGTAAATAAAACCCATCAAAAGAGCAGAAGGAGGGGTGATCTGCCCTCTGAGAAAATAGTTAACTGAGGAGGATAGAAGGTTTGGGGAACCGGCAGAAGCACAATGCATGGCTGCAAAGATCCACTGTTGGGGACAAAAGAAATCAAATATATTAGCTGTTGATGGAGTGGTAGCTGAGAAGGGGTCTGATCGCCCTCCCCTCCCCCCACCCCTCAGAACATTACCTAGAAAACATGGTACTAACAGGATTTGGATAATTAGCATGAGAAAATTTGCCAGAACAAGAACAATAGAATTTAAACTTGAGAAAAATGTGTTTTTATTTGTTTTGTTTATTTATTTGTTGGTTTAAGTTTTGTTTAAAGTTAGAAAAATTATGAACTATAGGTTTCACCCTATTAAGGCTTCTAAATTTATAAGACTTTATTTAAAGAGTGTACTTTTAAAGTATCGTTCTTTCCTTCCTCCCTCCGTCTTTTCCTTCTTTCCATTATATGACATCTACTTTGAAAGGGAAACTTGTGGTGAGTTAAAAGGACACAGGTACAATAGAACCATTAAAATAAGGACCAAAGTATAAAACATTATAAGGAAGAAAACAGGGAGTTGCTAAAAATAAATACAAAACATAATCCCTGAGACATATCCCGGAACTTCCTGAGGGCTAAGACCCCAAATGAAGCATACTAGGCAACAAAAAACCCTTGTTCAACAGTAAAAGCATACCAGCTCCTCAAAAATAAGAGACAAATGTGTCCTTGCTCTGAATTTTTCTTTAAAAAAATGTTTTAATTGAATGCAGTTGACATACAATGTTATATTATGACATTAGCTTCAGGTGTACAAATGATTTGACAAGTTTATGATTTATGCTTATCTCATTTAACCCAAACGACTACCTCTGAGGCAGTTATTATTATATCCATGATACTGATGGGGAAACTCAGGCTCAGAAAATGTTGTCAAGCTTACTTACTTAGCTAGGGAGTGTTGGGTCTGGATTTAAATCTAGATTACTCTGACTTTAGTTTCTTTCTCTTCACTCCCACATATTCTGCCTTCTAGAGGGAAGACAAGGTTAACTCAATCAATTAATTCCTCTCTCTCTTTTTTTTTTTTTGAGGCAACTATGCCCCAAATCCCTAATTCACAAAGATAAGCAGTAACCAGTAGAATGTTTTGCTAGGCAAGGTTAGGCACTTTGGTAAGTCACGTTGTTTGTGAGATCTACAATTATTAATTAATTGAGATCTACATTATTAATGCTGCTTATAGAGTGTAGATTAGTGTGTTCACTTTTAAGGTTTTCTGAGTCTTCAAGTGGTGTTTACAGACTTTTGGAGTAACTGCTAGAGCTTTGCCACATTCTTCTAGGTCTTGCCAAAGTATTTCCTTCAGTTTCGCAAAGTTATGTGATTGTCTGCTGTTAAACTTCTAGTCTAGAACAGCTAAAGAGATTATATTCAGAGTGCATTGCCTGGAAAACTGCTCATGTTCTAGCAGCTTTCCTCCTGGTGACTGCCTTTAATGAAAAGATTTCTCACATTCACATAAGCCCCAATATCTACTGGCCATCAAACAAACCATGAATGAGCTTATCTCTAATTATTCTAAGTATAATTATTCATTTTTTTTCAGTGAATCATTGGTTTAAATATCAAACAAGTGCTTCAAGGTATGGCCTCTAGAATGCCAGTGATCTGTGTTGTATAGAAAACTTTTCATTCTGCTCCTACTGCTTAATAAGACCTCTTGTAAAAGATCATGGTTTAAAGCCCTAGTCCAGATGAAGTTGATAGCATTTCATGGAAGTACACACGACTTCTTTCAGAATTACTAGAATAGTCTTTGGCATATTTATGCCACTGATGAAAACACTAAATAATAATAATATTTTTTTTCCCACCAACGCAACACAGTGAGATACATTGTTAAGTGTAACATTTTCTCCATCTAGGCTTTCAGGAATAAGATATCCTATGCTTTTGAAGTTTTGTTTGGTAAAGAAATTTTTCAAAACTATTGATGACTCTTGCAATTTCCAAAAGGAGCTCAAGACTTGGAGATCTCTTATGATGATGTCAGTTTACTGGAACACTCTTTATCCAGAGTTTCACATGGCTGTCTCTTTGATGATTTAGACCTTTTCTGTCCACTCAGTCTAAGGTTATCATTCTATTTGCTCTCTTTCACATGTATTTTGCTCATGGCTTTTATCATCTGATAATCTCTCACTTATTGCTGTCTCCCCATTCCAAGAATGAAAGCCCCAAGAAAGCAGGGAACTAACTTATTAATCTGCATTCCCTGCACCTAGAAGAGTACTTGGAATATAGTTGCCAACATAGCTGATGAGCAAATGAAAGAATCACATGAAAACCAGAAACTGGACTAAAAGTTGTCAAATAGTTGTATTCGGAGATAAAAGAATATAGCTACCAATTCTTTGTAATTTGCCTCAAAATATTAAGATAAATGATATTATGTATTTATTTTCAGCAGTTAAGCAGACACCATTTTAGTTTTCTTCCTCTGCTCCAAGCCATGCAACACTCCAACCATTTCCAGAACTTTGGCTTCATTAAGATCTCTCCAGTTGTGTATGGCCTCTTTTGTTTGGCTGTGTGATCAGCAATCTTAAGTGCTTTCATGTTGGAGCAAATCAAAGTTTTGTCAGACCTCTAACCTTTTCACATTAGGAATTTTATCAAATAATATGCACCCTATTGAATGTGTTTTCAGAATGAACAACAATAAGGTGTTCTATCTCTCTTGGATTTGTGCTCCCAGTAGCAATGAATCTTGTAATACAAGAAGCAGCGTAGCTTTTTGGTCCAGTCACATTTGATGAAAGTAAAATGAAATATAATTAAGTTTTATTGTGCATCTTTCCCTTGACATTTTCCAACTTGAGCTAGGCCTGATGTAAACATAGACAGATGTCCATAATCATAATAGTAGGGGATGTTTTCCTGAACTCTTAGGGAGAATATCTTAACCTTATAACATATTAGCATCGATGATAATGCCTTATTGAACCTTCTTGAATCTTCTAGATTATAAAATTCCTCCTCTCTGCCATCCTGAGTGCCTTTCCCACCCATCTCTAGGTGCTCTGACCTTCATTTCCTATCATAGGATTCACTGATGCCTCTGGCCAGCAAGAGACTTTAGTAGGTTGCAATATTCCCAAACCCTGAGGTCAAACTTCATAGAATTGAAATTCTTGCACAGTAAGAAATGTGGATTGTGGGGAAAGGTCAATGAGAGTTTATTGATTCTCAGAAAATAATTTGTACACGATGCTTGACTTTCATTTTACTCAATTACAGTACTTCCTCAAGAGGCAAACTTGATAATAAATCAAATTCATGGGACTGCTCCTGGAGGACAGGTTGCATTTGGGGGTTCAAAAAAAGGTCCAGATGGAAAAGGTTGGGTTTTAGATAGCTATAGTGTTATTTAGTCTTAATCTCTATTCTGCTCCTTTACCAGTCTCCCTTCCTACTTCCTCATGTACCCACTCTCTAAATCAAGAAAACAATTATTATGAAAGGGAAGGGATTTGTTTGGGAGGAATAAATTTTGTTATGTAATTGGCTGAGGGGCATGAATTATTTTAACATCAGTGATGTTTAAATTGCTGATCCCATTTTCAAAGTCAGTTTCTTAAATTAAGAAGCTAGAACCTTGGCTTAGTGGATTTTTCCTTGATCTCCAGGTATTAGTTTTACTTAAAATTCTGAATACAACCACTATCCATAGATCTTTTGATACCATATGTTACTGAAGAACGTCGAGTATAAAATATGGTGGTTAGGAGTGTGCACATGAGAATAAGGGGGTGGGGGAAAGTACATGAGTAGAAAAAAAGAAAAAGTCCTGGAGCCTGACTGCCTTGTTGAAATGCCAATGTCACCACTGACTAACTGAGTAAACTTGAGCAAGTTATTCAACATTTCTGTGCCTCAGTTTTCCTATTACGGGAGTAATAATATACCTACCTTACAGAGCTGTCATTAAATGATTAAATGAGTTTTAATACACTTACAGGTTTAAGATGACATCTAGGACACTATAAGCATTCAACAAATGTTAAATCCTATTTTTAACTTATGAATTTTTAGATAATTTAGTGCATAGTTTTCTCCACTCCCTGAATTATACCTTGAATAGATGCCATTGGCCTAGATTGGATCTTCGGATTGAAATTCAGCTTTTCAAACTGAAGGTCTACTATAGGTATAATCATTAAGTTCCACTGATTAATTTATTTAAAAATTTTTTTAAAGATTTATTTATTTTTATTTGAGAGAGAGAGAGGGAGAGGGAAAGGGAGAGGGGAAGCAGACTCCCCTTTTAGCACACCCAGTGTGGAGTCTGATGTGGGGCTGGATCTCTCCACCCTGAGATCATGACCTGAGCCGACCTGACCTGAGCCGAAACCAAGAGTCAGACACTCCACCGAGTGATCCACCCAGGTGCCCCTCAACAGATTAGTTTAAAACAGAAACAGAGGGGCGCCTGGTGGCTCAGTCGTTAAGCCCCTGCCTTCGGCTCAGGTCATGGTCCCAGCGTCCTGGGATTGAGTCCTCCGTCGGGCTCCCTGCTCGGCGGGAAGTCTGCTCCTCCCTCTCCCACTCCCCTTGCTTGTGTTCCCTCTCTCGCTGTGTCTCTCTCTGTCAAATAAATAAATAAATCTTAAAAAAGAAAAATAAAACAGAAACAGAAACCGTTCTAAGAGTTGCTATATCTTCCTGCATTTAAAAAAAATATTTGTACTATGCTACACCATCAGGGAAAATTTTATTAAAATATGCAACCAGTTTATTGAAATATGCAACCTGGTAGTTCTTTCTGAGTACCTTTTACCTTAAGGAAAAACTATACCTTATGTATTTTATTTGTCTAAATTTTTTAGGGTTTCTTTTCACAATGGAATAAACTTTTCTCATTTAAAAGGAATCTTCATCCTCATCCAAATATTTCAAATTCCTGGTCTGGGACAAATGACAGATACCAAGATGTTAAAACCATAAGAATTGGAGCCAGACACTAGAGGCTTCTGATGGAATTTCTTTGACTAAGGAAAGATATTTTTATTCCCGCACTTAATTAAACTAGACTTTTCAAAACAGATTCTAATTTTGTCTAGTTTAGGAGAGGAAATGAAATTCATGTTTTCCATTTGGAAGTTTTAATATTTTATGCTAGTTTCTCAGGCAGCATGAAGTGTTTTACATATGCTTTGTCTTTAATTATCCATGTTGTGTGGTAAAGATATTGAAAATAGGGCTAATATTTCTGGAAATATTACTTATTATAATTTAAGAAAATGTAGGGAAATATACTGGTGTTATTTTTTTTTAAAGATTTTATTTATTTATTTATTTATTTGACAGAGAGAGAGAAAGAAAGAGAGATCACAAGCGGGCTGGAGCAGAAGGAGAGGGAGAAGCAGGCTTCCGGCGGAGCAAGGAGCCCGATGTGGGGCTCGATCCCAGGACCTGGGATCATGACCCGAGCCGAAAGCAGATGCTTAACCGACTAAGCCACCCAGGTGCCCCTTATACTGGTGTTGTAAAAGAAAACTACTACTATTAAACATTTTCCAGTATATTAATCCTCAAGTAACTTGAAGCTGATGCTTACCCTCCCTGTTTTCCCTGTGGTAAAGGCAGCACTGTTAGGAGAGGGCAGGAGAACTTGATTAGTAACCAAGAGATCTGAGTTAACTCCACTCAGCTATCAATAAATTACTAATCTGGAACAAGTTACTCTTTATATAGGAGGTACTCTTTATGTAGAATGGGGATGTTGGGTTAATGAATAGCTAATGTCATTTTTATGAGTCCATAGGTTTAAAAACTAGTTAAATGAAAGAAACAGCACTTAATCTTTCTGGGTCTGATTTTCTTTAATTAAAATATGGAGGTTTAAAAATACCAATACTACCTTTATTATATTTTGTGGGTAATTTAGGACAGGGTCTTGAACTGTGGAGCAAAAGGTGTTAAAATTGTGATTATGACAGAGGAATGGTAGCTCAGCTTCAGCTTGATTTCCTCAACCAAAATGCAAATGCCAAAGAGGCCGGTCAGCAAACATTTGTTGAGTACCATCTATGCATTTGTCATTGAGCTGGACCTGGAGATAAAAGAAATTAAAAAAATATAAATATAAAAAATGGGGCGCCTGGGTGGCTCAGTTGTTAAGCCTCTGCCTTCAGCTCAGATCATGATCCCAGGGTCCTGGGATCGAGCCCCACATCGGGCTCCCTGCTCGGCAGGAAGCCTGCTTCTCCCTCTCCCACTCCCCCTGCTCATGTTCCCTCTCTTGCTGTGTCTCTCTTCAAATAAACAAATAAAATCTTTAAAAATAAATAAATAAATAAATAAATATAAAAGAAAGTCAATTCTAAGGATGGCTGTTTGGCAGTAATGAAAAGAACAAAGCAATGGAACGGAAATTAAAAACAAAACAAAACAGGAGCAGACTAGGGACGCCTAGTTGGCTCAGCTGGTTAAGTGTTTACCTTCAGCTCAGGTCATGGTCCCAGGATCCTGGGATCGAGCCCTGCATCTGGCTTCCTGCTCAGTGAGGAGTCTGCTTCTCCCTCTCCCCCTGCTTGTGCTCTTTTTCTCTCTCTGACAAATAAGTAAAATCTTAAAAAAAAAAGGAAAAGAAACCAAAAGCTAGTTTTTTGAAAAGATGAATTTAAATAGATAAATATCTGGTGAGATTTGTCAAGACAAAAAGGCATAATTAAGAAATACGTACAAAAATAAAGGAGGTCACAACACAAGTAGGATAGCAGACAAGATTTAAGCAAAAGTCAAGTGGGAATGCCAGCTCCATGTTTTTATTTTCCAACCTGTGAATGTATTACCTATTAAAATATATAATAAAGCAGTGATTATAAAAATGTAATAAAATCATAACACATACCATAGAAAACCTTACCCTGGCTAATATAAAAACTTTGGCCAGGTGACAATTTTCTAAAAAAATATAAACGACCAAATTTACCCCCAAAGGAAGGAAAAAAACCCAAATAGAACTATAGCCATTAAAATAGTTGAGTTAACTGTAACAAAACAAAAAACAGAACAAAACGAAAACGGCATGCAAATGCTATGTATTGATTACCTTACATATAATAAGGGTATAAAATAGGTCGCCAGTGTACCACCTCCAGGCGGCCCCGGGAACCTGTTTTTCCCGGGAGCAGCTGTGAGCAAGCGGAACCAGGCTTCGAACGTGCGGCCCGCCGAGCCTGCGTTCGCGGCTCGCTTCAAGGGACGGGTCGGCTCCAGGGAAGCGCCTACCGCGGACACCGAGAGAATCCAGCCTCAGCTCCCAGATGAAGATGGTGATCGCAGTGGCAAAGAAGATGAACAGCCCCAAGTGGTGGTTTTTAAAAAGGGAGACCCGTCGGTTGAAGAAGTCACGAAAATTAAAGCAGAAATAAAGGCTGCCGAAGCGGATGAAGAGCCGGCTGTAGTTGATGGGAGCATCATGTATCGAAAACCGGTCAAACGTCCCTCAGATGAAATATATTCAGGTTTAACAGCAAGCTCAAAAAAGAGGAAGGCAAATGAAGATGAAATAAATAAGCAGGACTCAGTTAAAAAGAACTCACAAAAGCCCATCAGAAACAGTTGCCTCCTTTCTTTTGACAAGGAAGATGAAACTGAGTAAGTAAATACTTTGGACTTGGTCTTCCTTAAGAGTATATGGGGTGTTTTTTAAAGTGACACTTCTTTTTTTCTATTTAAAGATAATACAAGTTCATTATAGAAAATTCAGAAAAAAATTTAGTATGATGAAAATTTTGTCTATCAATAACCCTTTGACATGAGGCTAACTCTATAGATATTAACTACTATTAACATTTTGAAACTCCCACGTGTGGGGTGTGTATGTATGTAAATTATTTTTTTTTAAACAAAATTGAGATTATATTGTATATGTTTTCTGTCCTGCTTTTCACATGACATTATATTCTGAGCATTTTTCCAGATCAATAAAATTAAACATTTAACATAATTGCTACAGAGGATTTTGTCATTAAACAGATCGCCTATTGCATCTTCATTAGCAGAAGCCCAATTTGGAGGAAGATGATAATGTGCCTATTTAAGAATACTTCCCCAGCTCCTGCTAAAGGTAGCCATATAATAGCTCTGGCAATTTTAGAGATAAAAGTGGATCTTGTGCAAGTGAGCTTCTAATAGAAGAGATCTTGATTGAAGAGAGGATCTAATGTATAACATGGAGACTGTAGTTAATAACAACACTATAAAAGAGAGAGATACAAATAGAAGTCTGCTTAATAAAGCTACCAGGTGTTTGATACAAGAAAGCAGATCTGGCAAGCACGAACCTATGTCCTCGTTACATCCTGCTACATCCAGGAGAACAGACATGAAACCTGGGAGTGTTGGAGCCATTTTTTGGCCTCAGGAAGGCAGATCCTTTCTCTGGGTGGTAGCGTAGAAAGACTCAAGGCACTTGGATCCTGATAGCATGGCTCGAGGAGCTGCTGGACCAGCCACGGACTGCCAACCTCTGGACTTCTTGTTACATGAGAAGAATAAACCGAAAGTTGTTGGTCAGTAGCACCACTTGCTGACACCTGAGAATTCAATATCTCCTGCCCTCCTTTTCCTTTAAGAGGTCCCCTTTAGTTTTGTGCTCCTAGAATTTGTCAACCTTAAAAATAAAAGTCAATTGTTTTACCAGCAAAAAAAAAAAAAAAATAGTATAAAATAAGATGCAAAAGATAAATGACAATTTCAATATAGAGTTACCTCTGGGTATGGAGGGAAAGGAATGTTGCTAGAAAGGAGTACAAAGAGTTTCGATTCTTTCTGTAAAGTTTTATTATTTTTAAAAAACTGAAGCAAATCTGAGAGAGAGTTACTATCTTTTAAAACTGGCTTTGGGTAGTGGGGGATGTTTTATCCTCTGTATCTTGAATATTTGAAGCATTCTACAATTTAAAAAGATTTAGGTATTCCCTTGGTTACACAGAGAACTTTGTCACATAACAATTACGATTAAATCTCTCTTGGTAGAACTTCGCTCTTTGAGGTCTAGATCTGTTTCTTATTTTTTTATACTAATAGATTTTATTTATTTATTTATTTATTAAAGATTTTATTTATTTATTTATTTATTTATTTGACAGAGAGAGACAGCGAGAGAGGAACACAAGCAGCAAGGCAGAGGGAGAGGGAGAAGCAGGCTTCCCACTGAGCAGGGACCCCGATGTGGGGCTCGATCCCAGGACCCTGGGATCATGACCTGAGCCAAAGGCAGACGCTTAATGATTGAGCCACCCAGGCGCCACCATACTAATAGATTTTATTTTTCAAGAAGTTTCAGGCTACAGTAAAATTAAGCAGAAAGTATAGAGTTCCCATTAATTCCCTCTCTTATCATCCCTTTTTTTGATATCCTCAAAATAATTTGCTGGGATTTTGATTGGAATTTCATTAAGTCTATAAATCAAGCTGTGAAAAATTGATAATCTAAGCAATAATAAGTTTTCCTATCTATGAGCATGGAATATCTCTCTACTTATTTAGAATTTCTTTGATTTCTTTTATTAGAAGTTTGTGGTTTTCCTCATATAGACTCTGTACATATTTTGATATATTTATATTCATGTATTTCTTTTTTTTTTGGTGCTAATGTAAATGGTATTGTGCTTTAAAATCCAAATCCAATTTACTTTTGCATATTAACCTTTTATCTCAAAATCTTGCTATAATTGTTTATTAGTTCCAGAAGTTTTTTTGGTGAATCTTTGGGATTTCTGACATAGATAATCATTATCTTTGATATGTGTGTACCTAACAATATAGTGTCAAATAAGTGAGGCAAAAACTGAGAGAGCTTCAAGAAAAAGAAATAAATCTGCTATGATAGTTGGAGACTTAAACATCCCTTATTAGTAATTGACAGATCCAGGAAACAGAAAATCAGTAAAGATAAAGTTGAACTGAAAACCCCATCAACTAACTAGATCTATTTGACAATAATTTATAGTATACTTCATCCAATGATGTTAGAATACACATTCTTCTCAAGCACCCATGGAGTATTCACTGAGATAAACTTCACTCTGGGCCATAAAATACACCTAAACAAATTTAAAAGAATAGAAATCATTCAAAGTATGTTTTTAAACCAAGATGGAATTAAACTAGAAATCAATAACAGAAAGATAGCTGGAAAATCCCCCAAATATTTGGAGATTAAAATGGCAAGTGGGTTAAAGAAGTCTCAAGAGAGTTTTTAAAATATTTTAAACTAAATTATTATCTATGTAAGAAATCATAGAAGATTGTTAGTTCTTAGAGAATGGGTCCATTTATCATTATGAAACGTCCTTTATCTCTAATGACTTTTGTTGCTCTGAAATCTGCTTTGTGTGAAGTTAATATAGCTTCTTTAACTTTCCCTTAATTAGTGTTGTCATGGTATATCTTTCTCCATCACTTTACTTTTAATTTGATTTGAGGTGAGTTTCATATAGACAACATATAGTTGGGTCTTGTTTTTTATCCACTCTTAATAGTATCTGTCTTATAATTGGTGTAGTTACAGAATTGCCATTTAAAGTGATTATTGATATATTGGAATAATATCTACCATAGTTGTGTTTTTATTATTCTTTTCTTTGTTTCTTCCATTGCTATTGTATTTTTCTGCCTTATCAGGTTTTAATTGAGCATTTTATATGATTCTGCTTTCTCTCTTCTCTTAGCGTATCATTTATACTTAAAAAAACATTTTGGTGGTTAACCTAGAGTTTGCAATATACATTTACAACTAATCTAAGTCTGGGGTGCCTGGATGGCTTAGTCGGTTAGGCTTCCAACTCTTGATTTCAGTTCAGGTCATGATCTCAGGGTCGTGAGGTTGAGCCCTGCACTGGCCCGCACTCAGCATGGAGTCTGCTTGAGATTCTCTCTCTTCCTCTGTCCCTCCCCTCACTTCCGTGCTCTCTCTCTTTCAGTAAATAAATAAACAAATTTTTTAAAAGACCCAGCTAATCTAAATCCACTTTTTAGTAACAATGTACGGCTTAATGAATAGTGCCAGAACATCATTACACAGTATTCCCAATTCCTCCTTCTCTTCCCTTACATTTTTTGGTCATTTATTTCATTTTTCCATAAGCTATAATCACCTCATACATCATTGCTATTATTATTTTGAATAAACTTATCTGTTAGGTCAATTAAGAATGAAAAATATTTTATTTTACTTTCATTTATTCCTTCTCTAATGCTCTTCTTTTCTTATGTAGGTTCAAGTGTCTAGCCTATATCATTTCCTTCTCTTTGAAGAATTTTAAAATTTCTTACAAACTGTCTCAATTTTTGTTTGTCTCTGTGTCTTTATTTCTCATTTACTTTTAAAGGATAATTCTTTGGATACAGAATTCTTTATTGGTGGTTTTTTCTTTCAACACTAAATATTTCACTATACTCTTTTATTGCTTGCATGGCTTCTGAGGAGAATTCCAATGTAATTCTTATACTTGTTTTTCTACAGATAAGCTTTCTCCCCCATCACTCTTTTGAAATTTTCTTTTTGTCTTTGATTTTCTGAAGTTTGAATAGAATGTGCCTAAGTGTAGTTTTTATTTGGTTTGGTTTGGTTTTGACATTTATACTGGTTGGTGTTCTCTGAGATTCCTAGATCTGTGATTTGGTGTCTGCCATTTATTTTGGAATATTTTCAGACATTAAAACTTCAAATATTTCAGGGCACCTGGGTGTATGTGGCTGCTTTTGGCTCAGGTCATGATCTCAGGGTCCTGAGATTGAGCCCCACATCGGGCTCCCTGCTCAGTAAGGAGTCTGCTTCTCCATCTCCCTGGGCTGCTCCCCCCTGCTTGTGGTGTCTCGCTCACGTTCACACACTCTCTCTCTCAGATAACTAAATAAAATCTTAAAAGAAAAAAAAAAAAAACCAACCAACCAACCAAACAAACAAAACTTCAAATATTTCTTCTATTCTTTCTTCCCTTTCCTGTCCTTCTGGTATTCCCATTAGATGTATGTTACAATTTTTGTCCCATAGTTCTTAGATATTCTGTTATAATTTTCATTCTTGTTTTCTCCTTGTTTTTATTTTTAAAATTTTATTTATTTAAATTTAATTAGTTAACATATAATGTATTATTAGTTTCAGATGTAGAGTTCAGTGATTCATCAGTCTTATATAATACCCAGTGCTCATTACATCACATGCCCTCCTTAATGTCCATCACCCAGTTACCCCTTTCCCCCACCCTTTCTCCCCTCCAGCAACCTTCAGTTTGTTTCCTGTGATTAAGAATCTCTTATGGGGGTGCCTGGGTGGCTCAGTCGGTTGAGCGACTGCCTTCGGCTCAGGTCATGATCCTGGAGTCCCGGGATCGAGTCCCGCATCGGGCTCCCTGCTCAGCAGGGAGTCTGCTTCTCCCTCTGACCCTCCCCCCCCATGAGCTCTCTCTCTCTCTCATTCTGTCTCAAATAAATAAATAAATAAATCTTTAAAAAAAAAAAAGAAGAATCTCTTATGGTTTGTCTCCCTCTCTGATTTTGTCTTTGTTTTTAGTTTAGAAAGTTTCTACCGACATTTTTTTCAAGCTCAGCGATTCTTTTCTTGGATCTGTCCAGTCTACTGATGAACCTGTC